GGGGATTTTGGAGCCTTGCCATTAATTGCCCATTTAGCCCTTCAAAGCCACCTCACATATGCTCCAATAAGATTCCATCTTACTTTATTATTTTTGACTTGACTTTAGAAAATACTCAGACAATTGGTTCTCCCAAGGCCATTAAAAAAAAAAAACGGATAGTTGAGCTGTCAAAATTTTACCCTTTCAAAATTTTTTGCTTCGAAGCCAGAAATGATGGTTCGAACCATTTTTGGAAAACAAAAGTTCGGGATTGATTCGAACCAAAATAAATTGGTTCGAACCCAGAACTCTGAACAAGGAGAACATGAGTTAATTCTAATCGTGAGGAAAGATTAGAAACCTTGGATTAATTTTCCTGCACACTTAGCACAAAAATAGATTAAACTCTTTTGACTTATGGTTTTAAATCATTATCAAAATACAAAGAGAACCTAACAATCTCCCCCTTTTTGATGATGACAAAACCATGCCTTAAAATAATAAAGATAATAAGTGTAAGCTCCCCCTCAAAATATGCTTCCAAGATTCAACAGGATTTGCACAAATAAAGATAATTTTCATCTTTAAGTTCCTCTCCCCCTTTTTGTCATTAGCAAAAAGGAATGTGCACAGTAGCACAAAGCATAGCATAGAGTTCAAAAACACAAATAGCAGTACACAAAAGTCAGAAATTGTAAGAGTACAAAATACTGAAATTATGATAAACATAATAAATCAAAATAAGCACAAAGCATGGCATCTAGGTGACTATGATGGACATTTCCTCTTGTTGGATTCAGTCAATGCGGCCACAGATTTTTCCAGTTGATTCAGCTTGTTGTTCAAGGAGGATTCAAGCATGGAAAAGTGATTAGTCATTTTAGCTTCAAAGGCAGCAAATTTAGAGCTGAGTTCAGCTTCAATTTGGATACTCAAGAGATCAATGTTGGCCAAGACTTTACCCAGCGAACCTTCAACTTCTGGTGAATCACTAATCCTTACCCAAGTACCGTCTTGCTTTTCAAATTTCATCCTTTTTAGTGCAGTTTCAGTCAGAGTTTCATCTTCAGAGATTTCTTCAGATTGTTCCTTGGAAAGATCAATTCCCCATTTTTCAAAGAAGTTGGTAAGAAGGTGACCATAAGGCAAATATTCTTCACCAGAATTCATTGCCTTTCTCATGTGGCTAATAATTAGTGCCCCCAAGTTAAGTTTATTGCCTTGCATAATCAGACCCATCATATAAAGATTCTCTTTGGTAAAACGACCATGTGAACCTTGTCGAGGACAGAGAATTTTTGTCACAAACCACAACAATAGCCTGGTGTCAGCACTAAAGTGATGAAGATGAATTTTTTCAGTAGGACTGACAGAGCTTCCAAACACGATTTTCTTAGTTACAGGCATTTTGGATTTGTCAAAACTCAGGCTGATTTCATCATGTGGAAGATTAAATAATTCATTGATATGAGCAGCATCAAAAACCACGTGTTTACCTCGGACATAAGAGGTAGAATCAGATGAATCAGAATATCTATAGTTTGTATAAAACTCCTTAACTAACCTAGGATAAGATCTGCAATTTAGGGTAGCAAACTCTAACCAACCCATACCCTCTAACCATCTCTTAATCCTAAGGCTTTGATCATTCAAGATGACAGGAGAAATACAGTGTCCAGATAAAATTTTTTTCTTGGCAGAAATTTTGGTAAAAGCTTCAACAGATATTGGGTCCCTGAGATAGATACCTGTAATAGGTTCCATCGAAACTTCCTCAAAAAGCTCTGGAGAGTCTGGAGACACCCGATGAGGAGAGATGGAAGGAATTGACTCAGATCTGGTTCCTTTCTTACTACTCTTGCGAACTAAGGTCTTCCTCCTCGGCATGATTCAAGAAGAAAAATTTGAGATCTAGGGTTGCGCGGAGTACAGAGGAGGAGGATTTGGAGGAAAGATTAAGAGAATTTGGGTTAAGAAAAGTAGGCCCGGCCCCCATTTTTAATTTATGGTTAATTATTAATTTTTGAAACCATTATTTGCAGTTTGCTTTGAACCCGTAAAAACAGGTTCAAATCAAAAACGCACATCATCGGACCCGTTATTATTTTATTTTATTTTTTGGTTTAAGGCTAATAAAACTGGACTTTAATAATTAAAGTTCAACAAGTTGGATCATACATCCCTATGCCATGTCTTATTAAACAAAATCGTTCTTCATTTAAAGGTTTGGTAAAAATGTCAGCCAACTGGTTTTCAGTTTTAACAAATTCAAGTGTTAAGTCACCATTGTTCACATGTTCTCTAATGAAATGATAT